TACAAAGTCAAGGCCCTAGCAAGTGAGAGGCTACAGGAACGAGACCTAGCTTTACACAGTGCCGCTGATGATCTTTAGGCGCAAGCGCCTTCGTAAAGATATCAGCTGTGTTGGCACCGGAGGCCAAGTGTACTACGCGGGCCTGACGACGCTGCTGGAGCTCACGCAGGAGGAAGTACCGTAGCTGGATGTGCTTCGCTCTGCCCTCGAGTTGAGGCTCCTGACACAGGAGGATCATGGCCCTGTTGTCAACGTACAGGACCGATGCAGAGCAAGGCCGCTCACCTAACTCAGTGAGCGAGAAGGTCAGCCAGCGGAGCTCTTGTGCCGCCATGGCACCAGCGTAGATCTTGGCCTCACAGCTAGACCAGGCAACAGACGAGGAGCGGGTAGCTCTCCACGAGACGGCACCTGAACCAAGGCTGAAGCAGTAGCCTTGGGAGGATCTGAGGGTCTCAGCGTCGTCTGCCCAAGAAGCGTCTATGTGTCCAGTAAGGACCACTGGCCTGCGTCCTCCTAGCACTAACCCCATGCCCGATGTACTTGCAAGATAACGCAAAACCCTCTTAGCGGCAGACCAGTGCTGAGGTCGGTGTCTGCCTGTAGCGACAAAGCAAGCCAGGATGCTGAGAGGGTATGCGAGATCTGGGCGAGTGCAAGTCATCAGGTACATGAGGCAACCCACCAGCTCTGCGTAAGGACCACTAGGCTCTGCTGACTCCTTAGGAACTGGAGCGGAGAGCGTGTGGTCTAGTGGCAGAGGAGTGGGCTATGCGGAGGAGAACTGAAGGCCGAACCTCTGAAGGACCTGGCGCACCAAGTGTGACTGAGTCAGGGTGATGGTGCGCGCTGCTCTGTCCCTGGAGATTTGCAAGCCAAGGTAGTGGCGCAGTTCTCCAAGGTCAGTGCAGGTGTGTCTCTTCAGCAGCTCTGCCTTCACGGAGGCCAGTGCGTCCCTGTCTGGTGTGGCGAAGACCAGGTCGTCTACGTAAACAAGGATGTAGAACGGGGTCTGGCCAGCCCGAACGAAGAGCGAGGGGTCTGCGGAGGACGGAAAGAACTGCAGGTCAGCAAGCGTAGCACGCAGCGTGTCGTGCCACTCACGGGGAGCCTGCCGCAGGCCGTAGACGGGGCGCCGCAGGAGCCACTGGGTCCCAGGAGGCAAGATACCAGTGAAGGCCTGAGGGCGGCGCAGGTAGACCTTCTCGTGTGGACTGCCCTAAGGATACGCAGTGGAGAAGTCGAGGGAGTGAAGCTTGTAGTCACGCTGAGCTGCTACGTGTAGCAGCACCCGAAGAGTAGTCATCTTCGGGGTCGGAGCGAAGGTCTGGAAGAAGTCCACCCCCTCACGCTGACTGAAACCTCTAGCTACGTAGCGCGCCTTGATCACAGGCGGCTTTCCACGAGGGCACTTCACCTTGAAGAGCCACCGACCATCGACTACGTTCACCCCAGGCGGGGGAACTGCGTCGACGTAGGTGCCGCTCGATCTCCAAGATGCCATCTCCTACTCCATGGCAGCTATCCACTGAGAGGCCCAGGGTCCCGAGACCACCTCAGCGTAAGTGCGAGGGGTCGGGATGTCGAAAGCGTCGGGGTCACCCTCAGGGACTAGAAGCATGGAACAGAGATGGGGAGCAGCCTCGGACAGGAAAGCAAGCTTGTACTGGCGGTCCTCCAGGACGTCACTGCCAAGGGCAGGACCACCCCCGACAGACGGAGGACAGGCAGGGTCAGAGACCAGAGCGGTGGCGTAGTCAAGGCGGCGAGAAGAGGCGAAGACAGCGACCGCAGCGACGAGGGTGTCAAGGCTCGAAACCGGAACAGACGGATCAGTAACGAGAGAGGCAAGGACCTGAGGAACAAGAGGACGAGCTGCACGCAGGTAGTCAGACAGAGGGGGGGGAGCAACGACAAGGGAGGACGGAGGAGACGACGGGAGAAGGGGAGGACGAGACGCGTGGGAACGAAGCAACATAGGATGAGAGCGCGAGACAGGGGAGACAGGTCGAGCACGAGAGGGACGGCGAGACAAGACGTGAGACGGAGGAGTCGGGTCAGGAGATAGAGGAGGAGACACAGGAGGGGAACGAGGGGGGAAGCGGGCTGGAGACGAGTCCGGAGGAGGGAACACAGGGCCGTAGACGGGAGGAGGAGGAGGCACAGGCACGGGGTCAGGGGACGGAAGGCCGAGCAGGCGAAGAGCGGACACCGGCGGGGACTGCTGTGACGGCAGTGTGACGCCGACACCAGGACCGCAAGCTGCCAGGCAGCTACCTCCAAAACACTCCAGAGCAGCACCCCCAGAAGAAACACCCCCACAGCTCAGAACCCCTCGAGCACCGGTACCACCCCCAGGCCCGCCGGGACAAGCCACGACAGGAGTCTCAGGATTAGTACCCACCCCAACTCCAGCACCCCCAGAGGCAACCAACTGTTGTGGCGACGGCTGCGGTGGCGGCGGTCGCAACGACGGCTGCGGCGGCGGCGACGGCGGTGACGACGGCTACGACAGCGGTGGCGACTGCGGCTGCGGAGGCGGCGGAGGAGGGGACACCTGAGAAGGGGCAAGTGGCGAGGACTGCGCCGCAGGACTACCAGAGTCAGTAGACTCCTCAATTGGTACAACCGACGCAAGTGGGGTGACATGGGACACACCAGAGGGGGCAGGACGGGGAGGGGGAGGAGGAGGGGTGGCGACGACCGGGGAAGGGGTGACCAGGAACAGGGGGGGGGTAACCGGGGGATCTCGGTGGGGGAAGCGGCGGAAGAAGGAGACGGACTCGTCAAAGGTGACGTCACGGGAGTGAAAGAACCAGTGAGACGGCGGGTGGTAGAAGTGCCAGTCAGACGCGTCAAGGGGGAAGCCGAGGAAGACACAGGGAAGGGTGCGGGCAGTGAGCTTGTCCGTGCCAGAGGCACGAACGTGAGCAAGTCAGCCACAGACGTGGAACGCAGACGCGTCACTAGGTGACCCAGACCAAAAGAGGGTAGGCGAAACCTGAGGCTGCTGGGGGTGCGGCCACGGGTTAAGCTGGCGAGCGACGTAGCGAACTGCGAACGGCCACAGAAAATGGGGTGCACCGGCATGGGTCATGGAGGTGCGAGCCACCTCCATGACCAAACCGATGCGTCGCTCAGCGACCCCATTCTGCTGCGGGGATTCTGGCAAGGTGTACGACTGGGTGATGCCCTCCGCACGACAGAAACAACTAAGGACACCAGAGGCAAACTCTGGGTGCTAGAGACGGGCGCGACGGCTAGGGGGCCGGCTAAGGGCGAGCGCGACAGCCAGGGGGCCAGCTAGGGGCGGGCACGAACGGTCAGGGGTGAGCTAGGGACGGGCGCGATGGTCAGGGGGCCGGCTAGGAGGGATCGCGACGGTCAGGGGGCCGGCTAGGAGCGGGCGCGACGGCCAGGGGGCCAGCTAGAGACGGGCGCGACGGCTAGGGGCGGCCGGGACGACTAGGGGCGGCCGAGGGACGGCGGGAAGCGGCCGCGACGGCGGCTAGAAGCAGCCGCGACAGCTAGGGGCGGGCTCAAACGGCCAGGGGGCCTGCGAGGAGCGGGCGTGAGACGGCCAAGGCGCTGGCTAGGAGGGGCTCAACGGCCAGGGGGGCGGCTAGGGACGGGCGCAAATGGCCAGGGGACCGGCTAGGGACGGGCGCGAACAGCCAGTGGGCCGGCTAGGGGCGAGCGCGACAGTTAGGGGGCCGGCTAGGAGCGATCGCGACGGTCAGGGGACCGGCTAGGAGCGGGCGCGACGTCCAGGGGGCCAGCTAGAGACGGGCGCGACGGCTAGGGGGCCGGCTAAGGGCGAGCGCGACAGCCTGGGGGCCAGCTAGGGGCGGGCGCGAACGGTCAGGGGTCGGCTAGGGACGGGCGTGACGGTCAGGGGGCCGGCTAGGAGCGTTCCCGACGGTCAGGGGGCCGGCTAGGAGCAGGCGCGACGGCCAGGGGGCCAGCTAGAGACGAGCGCGACGGCTAGGGGGGTCAGCTAGGGACGGGCGCGTACGGCCAGGTGGCCGGCTAGGAGCAGGCACGACGGTCAGGGGGGGGGGGGGGCGGTTAGGGACGGATGCGACAGTCAGGGGGCCGGCTAGAAGCGAGCGCGACGGCCAGGGGGGGCCAGCTAGGGGCGAGAACGTACGGGGGCTAGGGCCTAGGGGCGGAAGCGTGTGCGGGCTAGGAAGAGGACCTAACCTACGATGATACCATATCAGAATGTTATAATAATTAGAAAGGTGAGATACAAGACCATATAGACTAGTGAGCTGTACCCTCTAAGGCACAAGCATGTATAGTCTACAGTAACTGCATAAGTTATGTTTGACAGCATGGCAGGTCAGCAGGTCTGCCGCCTGTGAGCACGCTGCCCGGCGTGCAGCATGCAATGGCGGTGGCGCCAGAGCTGCACCAAGCCATCTCCTCCTCGCCTCCACCTCCCACCCCCCTCCCTCCCACTCCACTCCCCACCTCCCTCCCCCCCTCCCTCCCCACCTCCCTCCCCACCTCCCTCCCCACCTGCCCCCCCAGCACCATACCTCCCCCAGCAGCAGCAGGCGCCAGGGAGACCGCTGCCTCTGTCCATGCCCCGGTGTCCCACATCTTTGCACTTACTCCTTCCGCAGCATCCCACGTGAATCCCACATGAATTAGTGCCCACCCTTCCTGCACTCTTCCACTCACACCTAACCTAACAGATCTGCCAAGGTTGAACCTGCACATGCCTCTGCCCCACCTTCGCCCCCCCATATAGTCACACCGTTGGCTACTTCCCCCTCGGCTGCCGGTGAGCTCATGCAGCCTGCAGGACGTGACAATAATGAGATACAGGTCAATTCTGCAGCAGGGACGGAGGACAGTAGAGTTTCTCTGTGGAAGTCAGTCCAGGGAAAGTGAGAGTGGGGATGGAGGGTGGAGAGGATGTGACTAATGTTGTGCAAAGGAGCGAATAGCAGTAAGGGTGGAGAGGATTGGGTAAGCAGCTTATAGTGGGTTTGCTTGTAAACAGTTGATTCTGGTGATAGAATTTTAGGAGATCCTCAGCAGGATTGGAACAGATGGCAATTTCAAGATAGACCACGGGCAGGAGCCCAGCTACAACAAAAGAATAGGCCTTATTCTAGGCCTGTATACAATACAGATGCACGCTATAGCGCGTGCACAAATCAGCCCACCAAGGGAACCCACCAAATTACACCATACTCGCTACAAGCACGTCCGTGAAGCGCGTCTAATTGAGGGGCTCCATAGGGAACTCCTCGACGGGGCTCAGCTGCTTGGCGCGGTGGTACTCGGTGTGCGCGCAGTCCACGGCCAGCACGGAGCTCGACTCGTACGACCGGGGAGTGCCGTCGAGGAACCCAACGCCCTCCTCGCTGTCGGACGAGATCGGACGGTGCAGGTTCGCGATCAGCTTCTGGAAGTTGGCGGCGCGCGCCGCGTGGTCTGGGCGGTAGGTTTGGCCGAGCACGCCGTGCACGTCGTCGGTGTGCTCCAGCTCCACAATGCCCACGTTGATGTGCGCCTCCGCGTCGTTGGGCGTCTGCAGCTTCGGGTTCGCCACGCGCAGCCTCAGGTCGAGAGCCACCAGCCCCTCGATGCTGAGGGTATAGTAGTCCACATCATACGGACCCTCCTTCTCGAGCGCAGCGAACCGCAGGGTGAGCCCGCCCTCGGATGTCACCTCGTCGCCGACGCTCATCCTGGGGATCTCCTCGCCGTCGATCTCGATCGTCTTCATGAACCCGTCGCCGCGCTCCTGCTGCTTGCCGCCGCGGGCTGCCAGGCGCAGCTTGTGGTCGGCGCCCTTGGCGAACCACACGAGGCCGAGCTCCTTGATCCACGTGTGCACGGCCTTGCCGTCCACCACCAGCGCCGCGTTGTCGGTGTCGTCGGAGTAGTACCCGCGGAGCAGCATGTTCACGTGGAGATCCTTGTCGGTGAGAAGGCAGAACGCCTTGTCGGGGCGCCCGTTGAAGTCGAAGTGGGTGCCGAACGCGCCGACCAGATGCGGGTCGTTGACGACATTCGCGCGCGGGTTGCACTCGCCGCCCGTGCGCACCTGCAGGTGCACGGGTTTCGTCTCCGTCGCGTACTGCGCGGTGAGCTCGCCGCACGTGTAGTCGATGTCGTCGTGTACAAGGTAGCACGCGCCGTCGGACTTCTTGCCGTCGATGGTGATGTCGGGGATGTACTGCCAGTACGTGCAGCTCTTGAACGACGCGCACGTGTTGCAGCACGTCTGGGGCGACGCCTTCTTGAGCGTGAGCGGATTCCCCTTCACATACACCTCCACGCCGAGCTTGTTCTTGAGCAGGTTGGACGTCTTCCACTTGGCGGGGATGCCGCCCTTGCTGCAGTTGGCGGGCGTGCACGCGCCTTGCCCGGGCGCGCCGAGGTCCTTGTGGCACTTCATCGCGTTCCACCCGGCCTTCTTCACGTCCACCATCAGCATCGAGTCCGTGCTCGGGCTCACCACGGTCGTCCCCTCGAACTTGTCCAGGTTGCCCGCCGCCGCCGCCTTCTCAATGCCGCTGGGCACCTCCGACGCCACACCATTGGATCCTAGGGCCTTCTCTAGGGAGACCGCGGGATTGCTGGGGCCTGTGGTGACGGTTTCTGCTGAGGCGGACACTAGGAGAACTGCTAGCGACGCTAGGAGCAAAAGTCGTGCCATGCTTCTTAATCAGCAAATTTCAATGAGCGAGCGACTTCCAAGTAAAGCGTATTAGTGCGTCTCAGATGGTATGTGGGTGGAATAAAATACTTCACTCGAGATGTATGGTTCTCTGTGGTAGCTGCTTAACTGCTTTGAGGAAGTAGCGACTAGTTGTGGTATTAGTAGCACCGACGTGCGGTGCGTCAACACCAGAGCAGTTGGCTCTGGTCTGGTTTTGTTCGGGGCGGGGGAATTCCTGTCAACCGCGAGTCGCAGCATGATGCGACCGAATCGCATTCACCAGGCTACTTTCCAGTTCTGTGGCCATGAAGCTTGGAAAGGAGTTTGGCTATCTGGAGCAGGTGTGTACTCCGCAGGTGGTGTCTGCCACAATTCAGGCAAATTCGCTTTTACGGAACAGTTCAAAGCGCAGGCAGCGAACATTTGCTGATCAACCTGGGCATACCCCTGCGAGAACGGGGTCAGAACAGTTTGCCTTGCGTGGCAGGGATTTGTGATAAACATGACGTGGCAATTAGCAAAAGGTAAGGAGTAGGTTAGTGCTCGATAGTGTGACGCAGCTATCCACTGTACCAAGTATCATGTATTATGGATTTCAGTAGGCTCATACCCATTACTACGTTATTTCTGTGCGCTCGTATACAATTCTACTTTCATATCATTAACACCATGTATACACAAGTGTAACTCGTGCAAAATTTATATGAACTAAAACCTTGCTATTGAACACGTATGAAGAAATTACACTGAAGTAAGAGTAGCTTCTCGATATCGGCCTGCTTGAAAACATTGCAAATACATACAAAACAAGGCTCGACGTAAATCGTCGGATGGGTTGCGTACGTCCATATTTCTTCTCTCACAATTTGAATTCACATTCTCCCCCCCCCCCCCCCCCCCTCCCTTTTTTTGTTTTAATTTCACTGGGACTGTGCACTAGAAAGTTTGTGAGTCAATAGTAGGAAAGTGATTCTGTAAGTGAATATATTTGAAACGTGTAATAGTACGAACTATAGCAATAATATAGTTTTATATAAAATAAGTTCTGTATTGCTGAATTGGAGTAGTAACTGTGCTGACCTGTTTAAAAGGGGAGAATGGCACAGCGAGTAACTGTGCAGACCTGTACTCGGTTAGCTTTCTGGGGCAGAGTGAATACACCCCTGCTAGGGTGTGTTGGTGCTTCTTGTTTCTGCTCGTCCTTCCCCCTTGCTCTTTCGTTCGTGCCTTGTTCTTGCTCATAGAGGTAGTCCATCCCTGCTCACGCCTAGAACTTGCTCACACCTAGTCCTTGCTCCCACCCACCGTAGTCCTTGCTCATACATAGTCCTAGCTCGAAACTGGCGCATTTCGCGCTGGCGCGTCTCGCGCTGGCGCGTTTCGCGCTGGTCCGTAACGCGCTGGCGCCTGGCGCGCTGGTGCGTTACGCGCTGGCGCCGTGTGCGCAGGCGCATTGCGCGCTGGCGCCGTGCGCGCAGGCGCGTTTCGCGCTGGCGCCGTGCGCGCAGGCGCCTTGCGCGCTGGCGCGTTTCGCGCTGGCGCCGTGCGCGCTGACGCGTTTCGCGCAGGCGCAGTGCGCGCAGACGCCTTGCACGCCAGCGTGGTCCGCGCTGGCGCGGTGCGCGTTGACGCCTCGCGCGCTGACGCCATGTCTTTGGGGTCATGGCGCTGTGCAAGTCATCGTGGAATGAAGTGTATGTGCGACAACACTGCAGGTAAGCTCTAGTCCCCTTCGTCCCTCCCCCTTTGCCGTCCCCCCTCGTTCCTCCCCCTTTGCCGTCCCCCCTCCGTTCCTCCCCCTTTGCCGTCGCCCCTCCGTTCGCCCCACTTTGCCGTCCCCCCTCCGTTCCTCCCCCTTTCCCGTCCCCCCTCCGTTCCCCCCCTTTGCCGTCCCCCCTCCGTTTCCCCCCCTTTGCCGTCCCCCCTCCGTTCCTCCCCCTTTGCCGTCCCCCCTCCGTTCCCCCCCTTTTGCCGTCCCCCCTCCGTTCCCCCCCCTTTGCCGTCCCCCGTCCCTTCCTCCCCCTTTGCCGTCCCCCCTCCGTTTCCCCCCCCTTTGCCGTCCCCCTCCGTTCCCCCCCCTTTGCCGTCCCCCTCCATTCCTCCCCCTTTGCCGTCCCCCCTCCGTTTCCCCCCCTTTGCCGTTCCCCTCCGTTCCTCCCCTTTGCCGTCCCCCCTCCGTTCCCCCCCTTTGCCGTCCCCCCTCCGTTCCCCCCCTTTGCCGTCCCCCGTCCATTCCTCCCCTTTGCCGTCCCCCTCCGTTTCCCCCCCTTTGCCGTCCTCCCTCCGTTCCCCCACCTTTGCCGTCCCCCTCCGTTCTCCCCCTTTGCCGTCCTCCCTCCGTCCCTCCCCTTTTGCCGCCCCCCTCCGTTCAACCCCCTTTGCCGTCCCCCCTCCGTTCCTCCCCCTTTGCCGTCTCCCCTCCGTCCCTCCCCCTTTGCCGTCTCCCCTCCGTCCCTCCCCTTTTGCCGTCCTCTCCTCCATCCCTCCCTTTTGCCGCCCCTCCGTTCCTCCCCTTTCCCGTCCCCCTCCGTTCCCCCCTTTGCCGTCCCCCTCCGTTCCTCCCCTTTCCGTCCCCCCTCCGTTCCCCCCCTTTGCCGTCCCCCCTCCGTTCCCCCCTTCGCCGTCCCCTCCGTTCTCCCCCTTTGCTGTTCCTTCCCGTTCCCCCTTTGTCGTCCCCTCCGATCCTCCCCCTTTGCCGTCCCCCTCCGTTCCCCCCCCTTTGTCGTCCCCCTCTATTCCCCCCCTTTGCCGTCCCCCCTCCGTTCCCCCCCTTTGTCGTTCCCCCTACGTTCCCCGCCCTTTGTCGTCCCCCTCCATCCCCCCACCTTTGCCGTCCCCCTCCGTTCCCCCCCCCTTGCCGTCCCCCCTCCGTTCCTCCCCCTTTGCCGTCCCCCCTCCGTTCCCTCCCCCATTGCAGTCCCCCCTCCGTTCCCCCCCCTTTGTTGTCCCCCCTCCGTTCCCCCCCTTTGTCGTCCCCCCTCCGTTCCTCCCCCTTTGTCGTCCCCCCTCCGTTCCCCCCACTTTGCCGTCCCCCCTCCGTTCCCCCCCTTTGCCGTGCCCCCACCGTTCCCCCCCTTTGTCATTCCCCCTCCGTTCCCCCTCTTTTAGTCGTTCTCCCTCCGTTCCCCCCCTTTGCCGTCCCCCCTCGTTCCTCCCCCATTGCCGTCCCCCCTCCGTTCCTCCCCTTTCCCGTCGCCCCTCCGTTCCCCCGCTTTGCCGTCCCCCCTCCGTTCCCCACCCTTTGCCGTCCCAGCTCCGTTCCCCCCCCTTGTCGTCCCCCCTCCGTTCCCCCCCTTTGCCGTCCCCCTCCGTTCCTCCCCCTTTGCCGTCCCCCCTCCGTTCCCCCCCCTTTGCCGTCCCCCCTCCGTTCCCCCCCCTTTGTCGTCCCCCTCCGTTCCTCCCCCTTTGCCGCCCCCCTCCGTTCCCCCCCCTTTGTCGTCCCCCCTCCGTTCCTCCCCCTTTGCCGTCCGCCCTCCGTTCCCCCCCTTTGTCGTCCCCCCTCCGTTCCCCCACCTTAGCCGTCCCCCCTCCGTTCCTCCCCCTTTGCCGTCCCCCCTCCATTTCCCCCCCTTTGCCGTCCCCCCTCCGTTCCCCCCCTTTGTCGTCCCCCCTCCGTCCCCCCCCCTTTGCCGTCCCCCCTCCGTTCCTCCTCCTTTGCCGTCCCCCCTCCGTTTCCCCCCCTTTGCCGTCCCCCTCCGCCTTTGTCGTCCCCCCTCCGTCCCCCCCCCTTTGTCGTCCCCCCTCCGTCCCCCCCCCTTTGCCGTCCCCCTCCGTTTCCCCCCCTTTGCCGTCCCCCCTCCGTTCCCCCCCCTTTGCCGTCCCCCCTCCGTTCCTCCCCCTTTGCCGTCCCCCCTCCGTTTCCCCCCCTTTGCCGTTCCCCCTCCGTTCCTCCCCCTTTGCCGTCCCCCCTCCGTTCCCCCCCTTTGCCGTCCCCCCTCCGTTCCCCCCCTTTGCCGTCCCCCGTCCATTCCTCCCCCTTTGCCGTCCCCCCTCCGTTTCCCCCCCTTTGCCGTCCCCCCTCCGTTTCCCCCCCCTTTGCCGTCCCCCTCCGTTCCCCCCCCTTTGCCGTCCCCCTCCGTTCCTCCCCCTTTGCCGTCCCCCTCCGTTTCCCCCCCTTTGCCGTTCCCCCTCCGTTCCTCCCCCTTTGCCGTCCCCCCTCCGTTCCCCCCCTTTGCCGTCCCCCCTCCGTTCCCCCCCTTTGCCGTCCCCCGTCCCTTCCTCCCCCTTTGCCGTCCCCCTCCGTTTCCCCCCCCTTTGCCGTCCTCCCTCCGTTCCCCCCCCTTTGCCGTCCCCCCTCCGTTCCTCCCCCTTTGCCGTCTCCCCTCCGTCCCTCCCCCTTTGCCGTCTCCCCTCTGTCTCTCCCCTTTTGCCGTCCTCCCTCCATCCCTCCCCTTTTGCCGCCCCCCCTCCGTTCCTCCCCCTTTGCTGTCCCCCCTCCGTTCCTCCCCCTTTGCTGTCCCCCCTCCGTCCCCCCCCTTTGTCGTCCCCCCTCCGTCCCTCCCCCTTGGCCGTCACCCCTCCGTTTCCCCCCCCTTTGCTGTCCCCCCTCCGTTCCTCCCACTTTGCTGTCCCCCCTCCGTTCCTCCCCCTTTGCCGTCCTCCCTCCGTCCCTCCCCTTTTGCCGCCCCCCCTCCGTTCCCCCCCCTTTGCCGTCCCCCCTCCCTTCCTCCCCCTTTGCCGTCTCCCCTCCGTCCCTCCCCTTTTGCCGTCCTCCCTCCATCCCTCACCTTTTGCCGCCCCCCCTCCGTTCCCCCCCCTTTGTCGTCCCCCCTACGTTCCTCCCCCTTTGCTGTCCCCCCTCCGTTCCTCCCCCTTTGCTGTCCCCCCTCCGTCCCCCCCCCTTTGTCGTCCCCCCTCCGTCCCTCCCCCTTGGCCGTCCCCCCTCCGTTCCTCCCCCTTTGCTGTCCCCCCTCCGTTCCTCCCCCTTTGCTGTCCCCCCTCCGTTCCTCCCCCTTTGCTGTCCCCCCTCCGTTCCTCCCCCTTTGCTGTCCCCCCTCTGTTCCTCCCCCATTCCCTCTGTTCTTACTCCCTCTGTTCTTCCTCCCTCTGTTCTGCCTCCCTCTGTTCTAACTCCCTCTGTTCTTACTCCCTCTGTTCTTCCTCCCTCTGTTCTTCCTGCCTGTGTTCGTGCTCCCCCTGTTCTCACTCCCTCTGTTCTTCCTCCATCTGTTCTTAATCCCTCTGTTCTAACTCCCTCTGTTATTTCTCCCCCTGTTTTCACTCCCTCTGTTCGTCCTCCCTCTGTTCTTACTCCCTCTGTTCTTCCTCCCTCTGTTCTTACTCCCTCTGTTCTTACTCCCTCTGTTCTTCCTCCCTCTGTTCTTCCTCTCTCTGTTCTTCCTCCCTTTGTTCTTCCTCCCTCCGCTAGTTCTCCGTCTGTTCTTCCTCCCTCTGTTCTTACTACCTCTGTTCTCACTCCCTCTGTTCTTCCTCCCTCTTTTCTTCCTCCCTCTGTTCTTCCTCCCTCTGTTCTTCCTCCCTCTGTTCTTACTCCATCTGTTCTTACTCCCTCTGTTCTTCCTCCCTCTTTTCTTCCTCCCTCTGTTCTTACTCCCTCTGTTCTTCCTCCCTCTGTTCTTCCTCTCTCTGTTCTTCCTCCCTCTGTTCTTCCTCCCTCCGCTATTTCTCCGTCTGTTCTTCCTCCCTCTATTCTTACTACCTCTGTTCTCACTCCCTCTGTTCTTACTCCCTCTGTTCTTCCTCCCTCTGTTCTTCCTCCTTCTGTTCTTACTCCCTCTGTTCTTCCTCCCTCTGTTCTTCCTCCCTCTGTTCCTCCTCTCTCTGTTCCTCCTCCCTCTGTTCTTCCTCCCTCTGTTCTTCCTCCCTCCGCTAGTTCTCCGTCTGTTCTTCCTCCCTCTGTTCTTACTACCTCTGTTCTCACTCCCTCTGATCTTACTCCCTCTGTTCTAACTCCATCTGTTCTTCCTCCCTCTGTTCTTCCTCCCTCTTTTCTTCCTCCATCTGTTCTTACTCCCTCTGTTCTTCCTCCCTCTGTTCTTCCTCCCTCTGTTCTTCCTCCCTCTGTTCTTCCTCCCTCTGTTCCTCCTCCCTCTGTTCTTACTCCCTATTTTCTTCCTCCCTCTGTTCTTCCTCCCTCTGTTCTTACTCCCTCTGTTCTTCCTCCCTCTGTTCTTCCTCCCTCTGTTCCTCCTCCCTCTGTTCTTCCTCCCTATGTTCTTCCTCCCTCTGTTCTAACTCCCTCTGTTATTACTCCCTCTGTTCTAACTCCCTCTGTTATTACTCCCTCTGTTCTTACTCCTCTGTTCTTCCTCCCTCTGTGCTTCCTCCCACTGTTGTTCCTCCCTCTGTTCTTACTCCCTCTGTTCTTACTGCCTCTGTTCTTACTCCCTCTGTTCTTACTGCCTCTGTTCTAACTCCCTCTGTTATTACTCCCTCTGTTCTTCCTCCCTCTTTTCTTCCTCCATCTGTTCTTACTCCCTCTGTTCTTACTCCCTCTGTTCTTACTCCTCTGTTCTTCCTCCCTCTGAACTTTCTCCCTCTGTTCTTCCTCCCTCTGTTGTTCCTCCCTCTGTTCTTACTCCCTCTGTTCTTACGACCTCTGTTCTTACTCCCTCTGTTCTTACTGCCTCTGTTCTAACTCCCTCTATTATTACTCCCTCTGTTCTTCCTCCCTCTGTTCTTCCTCCCTCTGTTCGTCCTCCCTCTGTTCCTCCTCCCTCTGTTCTTCCTCCCTCTGTTCTTTCTCCCTCTGTTCTAGTCCCTCTGTTATTAATCCCTCTGTTCTTACTCCCTCTGTTCTTCCTCCCTCTGTTCTTCCTCCCTCTGTTCTTCCTCCCTCTGTTCTTCCTCCCTGTGTTCTTCCTCCCTCTGTTCTTACTCCCTCTGTTCTTACTCCCTCTGTTATTACTCCCCCTGTTCTTACTCCCTCTGTTCTTCCTCCCTCTGTTCTTACTCCCTCTGTTCTTCCTCCCTCTGTTCTACCTCCCTCTGTTCTTCCTCCCTCTGTTCTTCCTCCCTCTGTTCTTCCTCCCTCTGTTCTTCCTCTCTCTGTTCCTCCTCCCTCTGATCTTCCTCCCTCCGCTAGTTTTCCCTCTGTTCTTCTGCCCTCTGTTCTTCCTCCTTCTGTTCTTCCTCCTTCTGTTCTTCCTCCCTCTGTTCTTACTCCGTCTGTTCTCACTCCCTCTGTTCTTACACCCTCTGTTCTTACTCCCTCTGTTCTTCCTCCCTCTGTTTTTCCTTCCTATGTTCTTCCTCCCTCTGTTCTTCCTCCCTCTGTTCTTCCTCCCTCTGTTCCTCCTCCCTCTGTTCTTCCTCCCTCTGTTCTTCCTCCCTCTGTTCTAACTCCCTCTGTTATTACTCCCTCTGTTCTTCCTCCCTCTGTTCTTCCTCCCTCTGTTCTTCCTCCCTCTGTTGTTCCTCCCTCTGTTCTTACTCCCTCTGTTCTTCCTCCCTCTGTTCTTCCTCCCTCTGTTCCTCCTCCCTCTGTTCTTCCTCCCTCTGTTCTTACTCCCTCTGTTATTACTCCCCCTGTTCTTACTCCCTCTGTTCTTCCTCCCTCTGTTCTTACTCCCTCTGTTCTTCCTCCCTCTGTTCTACCTCCCTCTGTTCTTCCTCCCTCTGTTCTTCCTCCCTCTGTTCTTCCTCCCTCTGTTATTCCTCTCTCTGTTCCTCCTCCATCTGTTCTTCCTCGCTCCGCTAGTTTTCCCTCTGTTCTTCTGCCCTCTGTTCTTCCTCCTTCTGTTCTTACTACCTCTGTTCTTACTGCCTCTGTTCTTACTCCCTCTGTTCTTCCTCCCTCGGTTCTTTCTCCCTCTGTTCTTACTCCCTCTGTTCTTCCTCCTTCTGTTCTTCCACCCTCTGTTCTTCCTCCCTCTGTTCTTCCTCCCTCTGTTCTTACTCCATCTGTTTTTACTCCCTCTGGTCTTACTCCCCCTGTTGTTACTCCGTCTGTTCTCACTCCCTCTGTTCTTACTCCCTCTGTTCTTACTCCCTCTGTTCTTCCTCCCTCTGTTTTTCCTTCCTATGTTCTTCCTCCCTCTGTTCTTCCTCCCTCTGTTCTTCCTCCCTCTTTTCCTCCTCCCTCTGTTCTTCCTCCCTCTCTTCTTCCTCCCTCTGTTCTAACTCCCTCTGTTATTACTCCCTCTGTTCTAACTCCCTCTGTTATTACTCCTTCTGTTCTAACTCCTCTGTTCTTCCTCCCTCTGTTCTTCCTCCCTCTGTTCTTCCTCCCTCTGTTGTTCCTCCCTCTGTTCTTACTCCCTCTGTTCTTACTACCTCTGTTCTTACTCCCTCTGTTCTTACTCCCTCTGTTCTTCCTCCCTCTTTTCTTCCTCCCTCTGTTCTTCCTCCCTCTGTTCTTACTCCCTCTGTTCTTCCTCCCTCTGTTCTTCCTCCCTCTGTTCCTCCTCCCTCTGTTCGTCCTCCCTCTGTTCCTCCTCCCTCTGTTCTTCCTCCCTCTGTTCTTACTCCCTCTGTTCTTCCTCCCTCTGTTCGTCCTCCCTCTGTTCCTCCTCCCTCTGTTCCTCCTCCCTCTGTTCTTACTCCCTCTGTTCTTCCTCCCTCTGTTCTTCCTCCCTCTGTTCTTACTCCCTCTGTTCTTCCTCCCTCTGTTCGTCCTCCCTCTGTTCCTCCTCCCTCTGTTCTTCCTCCCTCTGTTCTTCCTCCCTCTGTTCTTCCTCCCTCTGTTCTTACTCCCTCTGTTCTTCCTCCCTCTGTTCGTCCTCCCTCTGTTCCTCCTCCCTCTGTTCCTCCTCCCTCTGTTCTTACTCCCTCTGTTCTTCCTCCCTCTGTTCTTCCTCCCTCAGTTCTTCCTCCCTCTGTTTTTACTCCCTCTGTTCTTCCGCCCTCTGTTCTTACTCCCTCTGTTCTTCCTCCCTCTGTTCTTCCTCCCTCAGTTCTTCCTCCCTCTGTTTTTACTCCCTCTGTTCTTCCGCCCTCTGTTCTTCCTCCCTCTGTTCTTCCTCCCTCTGTTCTTCCTCCCTCTGTTCTTCCTCCCTCTGTTCTTACTCCCTCTGTTCTTCCTTCCTCTGTTCTTCCTCCTTCTGTTCTAATTCCCTCTGTTCTTCCTCCCTCTGTTCTTCCTCCCTCTGTTCCTCCTCCCTCTGTTCCTCCTCCCTCTGTTCTTCCTCCCTCTGTTCTTCCTCCCTCTGTTCTTACTCCCTCTGTTCTTACTCCCTCTGTTATTACTCCCTCTGTTCTTCCTCCCACTGTTCTTTCTCCCTCTGTTCTTTCTCCCTCGGTTCTTACTACCTCTTTTCTTACTCTCTCTGTTCTAACTCCCTCTTTTCTTACTCCCTCTGTTCTTCCTCCCTCTGTTCTTACTCCCTCTGTTCTTCCTCCCTCTGTTCTTCCTCCCTCTGTTCTTACTCCCTCTGTTCTTACTCCCTCTGTTCTTACTCCCTCTTTTCTTCCTCCCTCTGTTCTTTCTCCCTCTGTTCTTCCTCCCTCTGTTCTTCGTCCCTCTGTTCCTCCTCCCTCTGTTCTTACTCCCTATTTTATTCCTCCCTCTGTTCTTCCTCCCTCTGTTCTTACTCCCTCTGTTCTTCCTCCCTCTGTTCGTCCTCCCTCTGTTCCTCCTCCCTCTGTTCTTCCTCCCTCTGTTCTTACTCCCTCTGTTCTAGTCCCTCTGTTATTACTCCCTCTGTTCTTCCTCCCTCTGTTCTTCCTCCCTCTGCTCTTCCTCCCTCTGTTTTTCCTCCCTGTGTTCTTCCTCCCTCTGTTCTTACTCCCTCTGTTCTTACTCCCTCTGTTATTACTCCCCCTGTTCTTACTCCCTCTGTTCTTCCTCCCTCTGTTCTTACTCCCTCTGTTCTTCCTCCCTCTGTTCTACCTCCCTCTGATCTTCCTCCCTCTGTTCTTCCTCCCTCTGTTCTTCCTCCCTCGGTTCTTCCTCTCTCTGTTCCTCCTCCCTCTGTTCTTCCTCCCTCTGTTCTTCCTCCCTCCGCTAGTTTTCCCTCTGTTCTTCTGCCCTCTGTTCTTCCTCCTTCTGTTCTTACTACCTCTGTTCTTACAGCCTCTGTTCTTACTCCCTCTGTTCTTCCTCCCTCGGTTCTTTCTCCCTCTGTTCTTACTCCCTCTTTTCTTCCTCCTTCTGTTCTTCCTCCCTCTGTTCTTCCTCCCTCTGTTCTTCCTCCCTCTGTTCTTCCTCCCTCTGTTCCTCCTCCCTCTGGTCTTACTCCCCCTGTTCTTACTCCGTCTGTTCTCACTCCCACTGTTCTTTCTCCCTCTGTTCTTACTCCCTCTGTTCTTCCTCCCTCTGTTTTTCCTCCCTATGTTCTTCCTCCCTCTGTTCTTCCTCCCTCTGTTCTTCCTCCCTGGATTCTTACTCCCCCTGTCCTTACTCCCCCTGTTCTCACTCCCTCAGTTCTTACTCCCTCTGTTCTTACTCCCTCTGTTTTTACTGCCTCTGTTCTTACTCCCTCTGTGCTTCCTCCCTCTGTTCTGCCTCCCTCTGTTCTTACTCCCTCTGTTCTAACTCCCTCTGTTCTTCCTCCCTCTGTTCTTCCTCGCTCAGTGTGTTTCTCCTCCCTCTGTTCTTCTTTCCTCTGTTCTTCCTCCCTCTGTTTTTCCTCCTTCTGTTCTTACTCCCTCTGTTCTTACTGGCACCGTGCGAGCTGGCGCCTTGCGCACTGGCGCCTTGGGTGCCAGCCCGTTTTGCGCTGGCGCCGTGCGCGCTCGCGCGTTTAGCACAAGCGCCGTGCGCGCTTTGGCGCCTTTCGCGCTGGCGCCTTTGTCGTCCCTTCTGTTCCCCCCCCTTTGTGGTCCCCCATCCGTCCCTCCCCCTTTGTCGTCTCCCCCCCCCCCCCCCGTTTCCCCCCCTTTGTTGTCCCCCCTCCCTTCCTCCCCCTTTGCCATCCCCCCTCCGTCCCTCCCCCTTTGTCGTCCCCCCTCCGTTCCCCCCCCCCTTTGTTGTCCCCCCTCCGTTCCCCCCCCCTTTTTCGTCCCCCCTCCTTTCCCCCCCTTTGCTGTCCCCCCTCCCTTCCTCCCCGTTCGCCATCTCCCATCCGTTCCTCCCGTTTTGTCGTCCCCCCTCCGTCCCTCCCCCTTTGTCGTCCCCCCTCCGTTCCTCAAACTTTGCCGTCCCCCCTCCCTTCTTCCTCCATTGTCTTTCCACCTCCGTTCTTCCTCTCATTGTCTCCCTCATTCCTTTTTTCCCCCCTCAGTTTATCCCCCCTCTGTCTTCCCCCCTCCATTCCCCCCTCCGTCCTTCCATCCTCCATTCTCCCGCCCTCTGCTCTCCCCCCCTCTGCCGTTCCCTTTCCATTCTTCCTCACCAACGCTCTCCCACCCCCCCCCCTTTCCTTTTCCCCTTGCGTTCTTCTTACCTCATCCCCCCTCTGCTTTTTTGCCTTTGCAATCTGTATTCTTATAAGCCCAAGTGCAGCCCATTCTCAGGTATACATTACTCTCCCTCTCGCTGTTTTTTTTTTGTTCTTCATCCATCCATTCTTCCCCTGTCTGTTTGCCTCTGTTCTTCCCCTCCATTCTTTCCCGCTCCTGTCTTCTCGCCTCCATTCCCCCTTCAGCTCTTTTTAACCATTCTTCCTCACGTTCTTCCACCCTATGGTCTCCCCTCTCCATTCTTACTCCGCCTATTCATTCCTCCCTCTGTGTGACCCTCTCCCTCCCTGTGCTGCTCTCCCTTGCTCCTTCTTCTCCTTTCTGTATTTTATTTTCCCCTACACTTGTTTCTACCCTGCGTTTGCTTCTCATTTCAGTGGTTGCTTCTCTCTTGCACTTGCTGCTCCCTTCTCCTTGTCCGTCTTTCTTGCGTTCGTCTCCGCTGTACTGTTTTTTCCCTCGCATCCCCACCTAATCGCTTTAGTTTCTCTCTTGCTGCTACTGTCTCAAGCTCTTCCCTCTTATTTTCTCCTCTTGTTATCCTCTCCAGTCATGTTATCATGTTCAAGTTTGTCACACTCCAAGAACATTCCAAGTCGTCGAAATTCAAGTCATCACGTTCCAAGACTTCTCATTCCATATCCAGTCAAAGCATTTATTCATGGATGTTTGAAGTTGACTTGGTAATGTTTTCGTGCTACCCATTATATCTTCGTGTTTGACTTGCATGCATTTGCATTGTTGTTTTGTGATTTTTTATGCCGCGCTGCTTGTGTATGTGCGTTTGCATGGTACCATTGTTGACAACGTGCGTACCAGTTTGTTGGCTTGTGTTTTGCACGGTGTTGCGTTGCGTTGTGCTTGCAGGGGAAGGATGCTGACTATGCCTAGTGCATCACACAATTTTGCGATTGTCGTTGCCGGTTTGGGGAATTGCTTCTCATTCCGTGCATGTCAATCTCTGATGTAGCACGAAAGCATTGATGCATTTCTTCCTTTGCAGTCACTATTGCACTGTTTTTGTTTGTTAGCAAGTGTTGTACATTGTTATGTATTGTGTGTGCGTGCAGGGAAACGATGCTGATTATGCCGAGTGCATCATACAAGATTGTCGTTGCCCATAACGGGCATGTCAATCTATAATGTGGCACGAACGCATTGATGCTTTCGTTTACTGCATTCGTGATATTTTTGTTGTATTGTATTGTCGTGTCGAGCCAAGCCGTTACATGTGTGTTTGGGTTAGATGCGTTCTGTGTACATGCTTTGAAAATGGTGGTGGTGATGTTGTGGTTTAGTCATTCTCCGCCGTAATTATCGATGGCAAATGATTCGAGCCTCTCTCATCATTCATAGAAAGCTTAGAAAATCGTTACAAAACTCTATGTTGCTCAATTATTATGTCGTCTCCATTATCGACCACATAATAATTGCGAAAAAACATAGATTTTTTTTATGCAAGCTAGAAAGGTCTTTTGAGACGCTAAGTTTCTGAGTTACAGTAGAAGGAATCAACATACAAATGGATACGTAGAGATTCTCTATCAGAGAACGTAAACATTCAGATTATAGAGAACCAATTTTAGATGGAAAAAAAAAACCAGTGTTTTTAGAGTGAGCGACGCATTAAACCTGGAAAACATATGTAGTGCGGGTGATTAGGCAGACTAAACCAAGTCGTCCGAAATCGGTCCACCGACCGATTATAAAGGGTTGCTACGCAACCCAAAAATGAGCTAATGTACGGGGAAAATAAAAAGGTTCCCATGGCAGCTAAATCTCTATGGCAACAGAGCATGTTCCTACAGCAGAGGAGGATGGGGGAAAGGGACTGGTGGATGACAGCAGTTGATTAGGGATGAAAACAGGGAAGAGTGGAGGGGAGGGGGTGTCTCATGACTAGCCAGGCTGGTGGGCTCTCTATGCTAACTTTCCCTTATAACCACCTTGCCAACTTGACCACCAGGAACTTGCCAAAGTTCCACTTGATGGGAAACGCATCCCCATCAATGCACCAGGCGCATCTGTAAAACACTACATTCACACAACTGGATGGCAGACGGCGAGGTGGTGGGCGCGTATCTCTCCACCACCTTGCCGTCCTTGTCCACCAGGGACTTGCTGAAGTTCCACTTGATCGAATCCCCCAGCAGCCCTCCGCCCTTCTGCGACCGCAGGAACTGGTACACTGGGGCTGCGTTCGCCCCGTTCACATCCACCTGAAAACAAATCAAGCAGACGGCAAGAGAGGGGAGGTGGGTGGGGGGGGGGGACAGGGGGGGGGGGGGTGGGGGGGTGGGGGGGGGGTTTGGAAAAGGTGCCAGTCACACGAGCCACCCACCCAGCAGTCTTTCAACCTTCTGCGACCGAAGGAACTGGTACACGGGAAGCATCGGCCCCGTTCTCATCCACCTTGAGGGGAGTTGAGGTTCGGAGATCTTTCAGGGTCTGTTTCAGACCAGTGGATATTTGCGAGGCAAGGCGCAGCTCTTGAGGTGTAAGTTAAGTGTGTCCAAGGATAAGTCAGGACGTCGAAACATTTTCAACAAACAAATAAGGAATACTCTCGTTCGGATTGCCGTACTTTGTCAAAGAGCGGGAAGGTGGCGCTGTATCTGGAGCATGCGAACTCCTTGATCTTCTCGTTGCTGCCCGGCTCCTGCCCGCCGAACTGGTCGCACGGGAGGAGAGGGCGAGGATACCGAAAAAACAAGGCTTAAAAGAGTAGGGGAGGGGAGAGAAAGCGGAGCGGAACGGAGAGGGGAGCGGAACGGAGTGGGGAGAGGAAGGAAGGAAACGGGAGAGGAGGAGGAAAGGGCCGAAGGGAAGACGGACGAACGGGGGCCGCATGTCAACGAAAAATCCCTCGGCCATGCCCTCAAGCTTTTCGTACACCCAGGCGCCGCTCAAGCCGACTGGAAAAAAGAGTAATAGCTTCTGAATTATAACTCACCTCTGTCCTTGAGCTTATCGTACACCGTCTGCAGCTCCTTGTAGTTGGAATCGGTGAGTCCACTGTCGGGAATGGGCGCGAAAGGTTCACGAAAGAAAGTAACGTCAGCCTGGAGCAAGAGCGTATGCGACGTGTAAGAAGTGTGCGACTTGTGCAACGTCGCAAGCCGTAAGTGTAGGGTTAGACGACCGGCGAAAGGCGGCCGAAAAACCGCCATCAGTACCGATTGATGTGAGATTAATGTGATACTGATTGCGTTTTAAGACGTCTCAAAGACTGCATCTACTACCACAAATGTAAACATAATACGGTTTCCCCAGCATTAACTTCCGCGCTTCTGAGGTCCACGAAAGCAAGCATGCTCACCCTTGGGAGCATCCATTGACACAAAGGGGGGGCATGCTCACCATGCCGAGGCGACGTTGACGACGAGGACGACCTTGTCCTTGTACTGCGGCAGCGACACGGGGTTGCCATTGATGTCCTAATAGGGAGAATCGGACTCAGGGTTGCCGTTGATGTCTGGTTGTGCACGGAAATCTTGTGCTACAGAAGCTTTTAGGCTTGGCGCCTGATTGACATGCTGTAATGGGAGAATTAAAGGTACAGATGGGCTTGAAGGAAGCTGAAAAGACATTGGTGGGCAATGAGGAGGCAGGTGCATTGGAATAGCTTCTATTCGCAACAGAGGCGGAACGTAATGAGGTCCATGCCGGCAAGAAGTATCAACAAGGGGTAAAGAAGCTGCAAGGGAGAGCGGAGGAGTCACTTCCCCCTTGATGAATTTCGGGCGTCCATCCAAATGAAGATGATAGACAAAGGAAACAAGGGGATAAAAGGCAAGGCGTTGCGGACAAATGATTCAGGTGCTGGTGGAAATTGTAAAGAATGTTGGAGTTGGAGACAACGAAGCAGGAGTTTGCATAGCCGCTAGGTTGAGGGGAAGTTTGTTGCCCAGCCGTCAAACTCCAGTACACGTCACAAAGGCCATCCTTAATTGTCTTCCCATACCGCATCACGAACACAAGGATGATAGCATTGCTGCAAGGATCCAAGGCTGAGGTGATGCCGATCTGGTAGAGGTACATGTCTGGCATTTGGAGAATTTTTATGGTGACCCTACGAGCGAGGGTTCGGTGTGCGAGCAGGGACATGACTTTCAGCAAAAGCGGCCGCTGCAAGCTTGGTGATGGCATGTTAGCGGGTCAGACCTATGCATCCATATCATGTTGGATGAGCGACTCCGATAGGAGCTTCTTGAATTACTCGGTGTACGTGTCGTTGACTGAGCCACGATGGCGGTCCATGCAGTTCTTGCGAGTCGGATAGAAGGTGTTGATTGGGCGATGGAGCAATGTGTCTAGGAAAGGTAAGAGTGGTGCCTCCCCCGTGATCCAACCCGACCTTAGTACTCAATACTCACTGTATGTTGAGTTCAGTCTGGTGCCAGTGCACAATTCGGATCCACATCCTGAATTGTGCGATGTTGTCGATGCGAGTGGTCTCTAGGTTGCACAACGTCACCGACAGTTTCATCAGCATTGTAGTACTGTAGGTGTGGATGGTCAAAGCGACTTTTGGCAATTCATCCACTGGCAGCGGCCGATTCGGGCGTCTCTTGTGAGAGATAGTCGACGTACGCGAGTACGCGGTCGTTGTTCGCGAGCAGAGCGTGCAACCAGCATTCCGGCCTCGGGCCACGCAACTACCTTTCCTCTGTGTCGTGCGCGATCACTATGCCCACCTCGTCTGCAGCTGTGATAACAATTCTGAGGGAGCATCCCTCGAGCTCCGCAGGCGGCATGTAGTTGTGGCAGGACCATTTGTACTCCCAAATGGGCTCGTAGTACTGCTCGGCAGTCGTACCAGCCTCCAAGCTCAACAGATATTGCATGGCCCGATCAATCCTGCTTGGCCATTTTGTAGCTAAGAAGGTTACAATGTTCACATATGGCTCCCCGCAACCGTGCAGTCACTCCGCGATGCCATCCTCTTCTTCTCACAAGGCTTCCTTGTCTTGCGACACGTGTCGTAATAGATCAAGGAGGTGTTCTAGCACTGACAAAAGCCTTACGTTTCCATCGTCACCGCCACAGAGCTCATAATTGATTTCCATGTTGTCTATCGCGCCCATAGTGGAGCATCTCGCTCACGCTGTATGTCCTGGTAGAAATTTGAGAGGCTAAATGTAGAATGCCACACCCTAGAGGTCCAATTGACGCTCCTTATGTAGCGACTCAATTTTTACCCCGTGTCCGGCCTTGTCATGACGCAAATGAGTCAAATGTTATCTCGAGTTACGAATTTCTGGTATTCGCAGTGGTTCGCGTGCTGCATGTGGTTCACTTGGCCACAATGTTCACTCGGGGCACTGCGAGGCTCCATGCATTGTTACGCAATCAGTTGCTTTACGATGTTTCTTGTGGTAGTCATGATGCCATGCATGGTTTGTGCAAGGCGCACACGACTAAGTGAGTTCCATTCCGTATTTGGTGAAATTGTTGTTGCCTGCGCTAACGGGAGTCGTGTTCTTTTCCACCATGCAACAGTGTGCGGGCACCTTTCGTACACTGGAGGATGTGCTCGGACCAGCCTGCATCCGTCACTAGCATGCGATAAGCCTCAACGCAGCGACACCCCTTCGAAGGTCCCTACCGCACTTGTTGCGAGGTTGGTGCTTCTCATAGTGGTATTGCGTGGCAACATTCCATCTCACGTATTTGAAAACAATGTAGGGTGCTTGGATGTTTGGGGTGAGGCTGTCGTTCAGGCGTCGTGAGCTTTGTGGGGTGCACCATTCATTGTTATGTGGTAGTGGTATGTGGTTACGATATGACATGGCCATTAACGAGCCGACCGCACTGCACGTTGGCGTGTCATGCGACCATTGTTTGCGTGCACATCAAGCGCGTATGTAGTGTCGACTGTCAACTCAAATATGTGGTAACGCACTATCCAGAAAACCTTTTAGACTGCTAGTTTGAACACGCTTGTGTAATGTAGTTGGTCACACCACGCACCGGTGATATTCCGTCTACGTGTTCCGCACTCCATGCTGTATGGCATGTTGTGGCCCTTGTTCAAACTCCGAAATTGCACTTGATGCTGGCGAGCCCCGGTTGTTGGCTCCACCGTACGCATATGGCTATGAGATGTCGCGATGTGGTTGATGCGACGTGGCTGCAGGGCCAATGTTAACGCACTCCATGTATTCACGGCGCAGGAGTCATATCCCGTCGTGGCATCTGAAGTCACGCGTGCAGGATGCCTCGAAGTGTATGGTCCAGTCATGGTTTTGGTGTTCGTTTGAATAGTGTCGGTGTTTGTGGGTAGCACCATGCCTTTTAATGCGGTTTCAACCCCTCCCCCCCCCCCCCCCCCAGTCCGAACATGATAGGTTGGAGCAAACTTGGTTTGCTCCTGTTGAAAGTACATCAAAAGACTTAAGCGTTTCTGAAGTGTAACACTACACTCGAGGAAGATTGCAAGGGGTACGCGAGTCAACGGAGGTTACACGAGGGGGCGGACAAAGAACACGAAGGGTCTGGGACTCAAAGGGTCGCAACTGGAGGTTGCGACTGACCGTTACAGCATCACGGATGGTAACCGAAGCGGCAATCGAGTCGCTATGCGACTCGATAAACCGTTCCTGTAACTGTACTCTGCAACTGCTTTCTTATCTTCTATATATTGCTGTATGCTTGTTTCTTTAATCAATCACTTGTTCTCATATACTAGTACAAGGGTTCAACTGTCTCAACTTCCGCTGCACTACTCCAAGTCTCAAGTTTCTACAAGCTGGGACTTAGTCTCTGCAAAAGATCCTAAGGGCTTTTCTCAGCCCAACATGGTATGAGAGCTGGTCAGAGACCAAACTCCCAGCAACTACGTTCTATCAACAGCCTGCAACTCAACTCAATTCAACGACTTCATTGATTGCAAGACATGGACAACAAGGGCAAGAAAGTCTCTACGGGCTCACCCAGCGCCCAAGAAACTCAACACGGCAACTCTGGTCTGCACACCTCAGGACTGCAGACAGAGACCGGGACTGCTCAAGAAACAACGGGAAGAGTACCAGAGATGGTGACTCCGTCTCCCTCTTCAAGTGTGGACCCGAATCTCATGGAGAGATTCTTCAGCTTCATGTCACACTTCGACCAGCTGCAGCAGACAAGGACACCTGCGCACTCAACACAGAGCAATGGAGGGAATATGGGATTAGCGCCGATGAGCCTCGACAACTCATCCTTCGGGCGACACAACCAAGCGCCTACCTTTGCGCCTTATCATTCTTCGCCGGGGACGTTCGAATTCATGCCGCCCCGTGCCCAGCCAACAGCAGCTGCATCACAACAAACACCGAATGAAATCTTAAGTTTACAGGCGCAGTTCTCACACGTGATCAAACTTCAGACATCCTCACCGTTCAACGGACACGACTTCTTTACCTGGAGCTTCGAGTTCGAGCTGCTGATGGAGGCCGCGCATCTTCTGGGATACTTCAACGGGTCCCTGCCATTCCCAAGCAACGGCACTGGGAAGGAACAAGAGATCTTCACATATCAGTCGCTGCTGGCGTACACGGTACTCCTGAGAAACCTGTCACCACAAGAGCAGCAGAGCATCAGAACGTACCGGAGTTATGGAAACTCCGCGGAGCTCGCATGGCACCACCTCAAGTGCCTTTACCAAGCAAACGACAGCGTGACACAAAGCAGACTCATGCAACAGCTGACAACAATACAAATGAAGACCGGGGAAAAGGCGATGCAGTATATGAGTCGCTGCCAGACCCTCCGCGACCGCCTGCTTCGGTGCGGAGGAACAATCACTGAAGAAAGCTTCGTGACACTTGTCCTCGCCGGGCTCGGGCCAGAATGGAGAACCATACGATCACTTCTTCGAGCCCACGGAAGAATCTCGGAGATGCACCTCTGCGCCGAGCTTCACGGTGAACAACAGGAGATGGATCTGTTCGAGGAAAGACAACCAAGGAAGCAACAGCAGTTAGTCTTCTACACTCAAAGAAGAAATGACAACAACTACAACCGACGCAGCAAGCAAGATCAACGCGACAACCGAGGACTCACCATCGTACCGCCGTTCTGCCACAACTGCCAGACTTCCGGGCACTCCAAAGTCAACTGCAACCGCCCTCGCGTTTACCGTGCAGCAGACCCACAAGTCGCTTCCACTCAAGCAAGTCCTCCAAGGCGCTCTTCAACATCTGCACAACAAACACCCAACATCATCAACTGCATGGTACACATCGACAACTGCGCACCCGGTTCACCACCCACTTACGCACCAGACGAAGAGGAATTCCCGCCACCGCGCTCGCAAGGACTTCAGGTTAACCCGACATACGCTGCAGTCGCCAACGCCGAACCCACCGGGCGAAACACCTGGTTCTTGGACAGCTGCTGCGGTCAACACATGTGCTCCTCGGGACGCTTCGTGCAACAGGAGAAACGACTCAACCGCGACGTCGTCATCACAGTCGCCAACAACGAAAACCTGAAGACAAACAGACAAGGCGTGGTTCAGCTACAATCCATGGAAACAAACGTAATACTGCAGCTCAACAAAGTGCTCATTGTCGACAACCTGGGATACAATCTACTGAGCGTAAGCCAACTAATGGCCAAAGGGATTCACCTGGAGTGCGACTCTTACTCCAACGAGTTCCGGCTTTACCACGGGAAGGGCGGCCTCTTCATCGGTCGTGCCCTCTTGAAGTCCGGCGTCTTCGTGTTGGACTTCGTCCCCGACCGCGGTACTGCCGACAGCGACGGTATCGTATCGTTCGCCGCCTGGACTCACCCGCCGGATCTTGATCCCGACTTCGACAGTGACGGCTTCTGGCACTCCAACACCATACCTGCAGCAGAGAGAACACGAGCATTAGCAGTTATCAGACAAGAAAGACAAGTACCCGCAAGTGTCCCAACAAAACCATCACCTGCAGTATCGGCAGCAGGACCCAGCCGAGTACCACCACCATCAACACGAGGACCGCCAACGGAAGCAGACCAACTTATGCCCGCCACACGAGAAGCTTGTCGAAGTCCCGCCTCGGTCGTCGCGTTCTTCTCCAACGCCGACATCTACCACCGCTCGCCCGGTCACCGTGCTCCCGACGACATCTGGCACCAACGCCTCGGACACCCTGCAAACAGCACAATACTTCAAACAATCCAAGCAGAGGTGTTAGAACGCAACGCCCTTCTGACGACGAGCGGTCAAGAACTTCGACGACCACGCGCACGGTGCTTCACATGCCCCGAAGCAGATCTTCCTCATCAACCTTTTTCATCCCATCACAACCCAAGCGCACCTACTTACGCTCCGATGGAAAAAGTCTACAGCGATATTTTAAACATGCCTCGAGACGACGCAGAAGCCGACTTTAACTACGTCATCACTTTCATCGACGCCGCAACCAGATATGTCTGGCACTTCAATCTCAAAACGCGCGACCAAGCCTTCGAAGCCTTCACAACATGGCTCCCCATCGCCGAACGAGAATCAGGACTCAAACTCAAGAGCTTCCAGTCAGACGGTGCACTGGAATACCAGTCACAACGCTTCAGGACCTATCTGGCGGAAAGGGGAATCAGACGCCTGGTGTCCCTGCCCTATGCTCACCAACAGCAGGGGGTAGCAGAACGCATGAATCGGACCTTGCAGACGACGCTGCGAAAACTGCTTCAGGGGATGCGACTGCCAACCACACTGTGGCCAGACGCGATGACACATGCTGTTCACCTGCACAACCTGCTGTCCTCGTCATCACTTCCCAACAACGCATCACCGCACCTGCTGTGGACAAGAAAAAGGGGCAGCACAAAATTACTCAGAGTCTTTGGCTGCATGGTACAGTACAGACCCCACACAGCCCGAGCAGGACGCTTCACACAACGAGCTCGGTGGGGACTCCACCTCGGCATCGCGAAACATTTTCACGCGTGGAAAATTCTCGACATACAAGACAAAAACACGGTGGCATCACGAGACGTTATCTTCTACGAACGACTGACTCTGCAGCATTACCTGGACAACCTTGCCAACACACAAGACCCCACCGACGGCCTCTCGGGACTTCGTTCCTTTGCCGATCGTGCTGCCGAAGCTGACGCAGCAGAAGAAGACGTACCTGGAGCCTCGGAAGCTGCCGGGCCACTCCCATTCTGTTCCGTACCTGTTCCACTCGATGAAGATAATCCCCTCGATAGCAACAACCTCGACACCTTTTACCACTTCGCCGACCAAGGTTACGCTACACCTCACCCCGTCGACACGAATATTTCGGAACGCATCGGCCCCAATTCCTTACCTGACCCCGAAGACGGTGACGAAGCAGCTTATTCCGGGAATGACAATTCCCCTCGACACACACCAACGGGACTCCAGATTCTAGGCCTCTGGGTCTCCGTCCAGCATCCGCCGCCGCCTTCTGCGCGTGAGCCTTCAACCTTGTCGCAGGCTCTGGGGGGGGAACATAAGGTAAAATGGAAGGAAGCAATGGAAAAGGAGTTAAAAGCTCTGCAAGACCGAGAAACATGGAAACTGGTACCTGCAACGAGCATCAACGGGAAGAACGTTCTCTCGGGGAAATGGGTGTACCGCATCAAGACCAACTCAGACGGCTCCATCGAACGATTCAAAGCTCGATGGGTCGTACGAGGCTTCGATCAACGATACGGAACCGACTACACAGAAACCTTCGCTCCAGTCTCCCGTCACACCTCATTACGCATCCTACTCGCCGTCGCGGCCACGAAAACACTACCACTACGCCAAATCGATGTCGCGAATGCGTTCCTATACGCACCTGTGGACGCTGAGATCTTCGTCGAACAACCCCACGGATTCATCGACGACCCCACGAAAATATGCCGACTGACAAAATCCCTATACGGGATCAAGCAAGCCCCGCGGCTCTGGCAGCAGCATCTTCACAGCCGTCTCGTAAAAATCGGCTTCCTACAGCTACCACATGACCAAGGCATGTACCGACTGCAGAAGGGAAGAGATTACATTCTGCTCATCGTCTACGTCGACGACCTGCTCTACATCGGTTCTACCACCGACATCGTCACCCGGTTCGAAGGGGAGCTGAAAGGGGACCTGACGCTCACAGTGTCCGACTCAGTGACCCAGTACTTGGGGCTAAATATCGTCGAAGACAACTCGGCGTTCTACCTACACGCTGGAAAGTACGCAGGCACTGTCGCGAAGAAATTCGGACTAACACCGGCTACCGCCTCAACTCCCTACCGCTACGGAAACAACAACAGCGCCTCCGCAAAACTCCCCGCGAAGCAAATCCAGGAGTATCAACAGAAGCTCGGCTGCCTACTATTTGCAGCAGTAACCTGCCGACCCGACCTGTCCTATAGTGCAAGTCAACTGGCGACGCATCTGAAGCAACCGGAACAGGAGGATCTCGAGGAGCTCAACCGGGCACTACTCTACTTCATCTCCACGCCGACGATCGGACTTACCTACAGCAAAGCTACAACATCGTCCGTACAACTACTCGGATACGTCGACGCCGACCACGCGGGAGATAGGGAAAATCGACGATCTAGGACGGGCTACATCTACCGACTAGAACCCATCGGAACTATCTCCTGGCAGTCGAGCAAGCAGGAGTTAATCGCACTATCCTCTGCTGAAGCAGAGTACATCGCCCTTTGTACCGCGACCAAGGAAGGACTCTACCTGCGAGAGTTACTCGAGGAAGCGAAGATCGCGACCCTGCCCGCCTTCTCACTCTTCTGCGACAACCAATCTGCGATCAAAATCGCAAACAAGGACGGCTTCGCCAACCGAACCAAGCACATCGCCCTGCGGTACTTCTTCGTCAAGGATGAAATCGCGAAGGGGAGACTTCAACTCAGTTACTGCCCGACGACAGAAATGGCCGCAGACTATTTGACGAAGAAATTGGCGAAGGCAAAATTCGACTACTGCATGGTGCTGACCGGACAAACAAACGTCATCGGACCTGAACAAGTCAGCACTCCAGAAACGAAGGGGAGTGTTGAAAGTACATCAAAAGACTTAAGCGTTTCTGAAGTGTAACACTACACTCGAGGAAGATTGCAAGGGGTACGCGAGTCAACGGAGGTTACACGAGGGGGCGGACAAAGAACACGAAGGGTCTGGGACTCAAAGGGTCGCAACTGGAGGTTGCGACTGACCGTTACAGCATCACGGATGGTAACCGAAGCGGCAATCGAGTCGCTATGCGACTCGATAAACCGTTCCTGTAACTGTACTCTGCAACTGCTTTCTTATCTTCTATATATTGCTGTATGCTTGTTTCTTTAATCAATCACTTGTTCTCATATACTAGTACAAGGGTTCAACTGTCTCAACTTCCGCTGCACTACTCCAAGTCTCAAGTTTCTACAAGCTGGGACTTAGTCTCTGCAAAAGATCCTAAGGGCTTTTCTCAGCCCAACAGCTCCAATAGGCGAATTAGTGCGCCCTTCCTGTTGGTGTTACCCTTTGGCTTGCACTCGGCTTGTCGTCCTTGGTCGTATGTGTGCATGCATGGCATGGAGTGACTTGTGAGTCTATGTCATTGCTATCTAGTGCCTGTGTGTGTGCTTGAATGGTGTATCATAATGTGGTGTGTGTCGGTCAAGACATTAGCGAGTTTTCACTACTCGCATGTCAAGTCGTCGTTTGCATGTCGCATGTGTTTTTCTATTTTGTCGTGCGTAAGGTGTCCATCGCGTCGCAGGTGTGTGCAGCCAGCCCTCATCAACTCAAGAAGAATTTATCTTGCAGAACCAAGACCAAGAGCTAAAGATTTCAAGCCCAAGGGACGTGGATAAATATTAAAATAGTGAAAATAGTAATGCTACTTCGTGTAGTGTTACATTTCACTTGGTGTAGCCCCTTGCTGGGTTTGTTTCGAGTCTCCTCGTGGTTGGGGACTCTCTGGTGGTTTGCCACCAACCTGGACCTCGGCTCTTGGGGTATGTAGAGGCTGGGAACCATCTCAATCTCGATTCTTCTTGCTAAGTTTGTACCTTTAAGGATATAGTGGCTACCATACCTCCTGCCAGTAAAACCGTCATAGCGTCGTCAAATCTTCATGGAATTTCATGATTCAACTTGCTGCTGATAGATGACAGCAACGCGCTCCAGATCCAACTTATAAATCACCGTTTCAGTCAATGAGAAGATCGTTATCAATATTTGACGCTGTCTGACGAAAATCTGACTGTGCTCTCTATCTCTCATTATAGGCACATCTGAGCCTATTGTGATTATAACTAGTGGTATCAGAGCCCCTTGGAGCCATTTCGACCATGCATAGACCTAAGGAAGGGGGTGGCAGAGGTGCTGGAGGTAGAGAAGACGCCCAAGCACAAGGTCAACACCAAGTTCCACCCTTTGCTCCCGTGCAACCTAGCCTTGGCCCCTCTAGGGATGAGCCTAGAGTGTTTGGCCGTGACAAGTTCAACGGTGACAACTTTGCTGAGTGGTCATTCAAAATGGAGAACATCTTTGACCACTATGATCTGCTGGAGGTGATGGAAGGAACGGAGAAGCGCCCCGAGAACGATCCGGAGAAGAGCCCGTGGGTGCGGAAGAGCGCACAAGGCTACCTTCTACTTGGGCAAGCGTTGGGGAGCAGCCAAATCCGTCATATCAAGCCTTTCAGCGTGAACCAGCAAAGGGACCAAAGGCATGGGCTGCTCTCAAGGGTGTACACACTCCTGCAACAGCGGCAGTGGCTGTGGTTTTGAAGTGGCAAATGGCGGCACTTTGAATTGACGAAGGCGAACCGGTGGAGGAAGGAGTGCAGAAATTCTTCGACTTGTTGACACAGCTCGAAGGAGCTGACCTGAACTACAGTGACCTTCAAAAGAAGACCAAGCTGCTGGCCTTACTTCCAGACTCATGGTCCTCGCTCATCATCAACCTAAATCGAGATCTGCCCCGTCTCTCACTCGAAGATGTGAAGTGGGAAATCTTACAAGAAGATTTTCGCCGTCGCGAATTGGCGGGTCACAATGGTGCCGGAGTTGCAAGCATGGGCCGTGGGCACGGCCGTGGAAGGGGCAGAGGGCGAGGAGGCAGATTTGGCAGCAGTAACTTCAATGGAGGCCGTGGTAATGGAGGATATGGCAGCAACAACAACAACAACAACAATGTCAGCGAGAAGATCGTTATCAATATTTGAAGCTGTCTGACAAAAATCCGACTGTGCTCTATATCTCTCATCATAGGCACATCTGAGCCTATTGTGATTATAACTCTTGCATGCTACGTCAGAGCTTCCGCCTAGAACCTATACGTGCACCCATTTGCTGTGCGTACCCTCTGTCAAAAAATTGAATGAGGTTTGCTCAATGTTCCACTATCCATGAGTACAAGGTGCTCATATACTTCCAGAGTACATCAGGCAACCAGGTTTATCCTATCCAAAAGGAATAGACCCTTCTAGAAATAGAATTACCCTGCGTATAGCCATGCAAGACTACTGGCTTTAAGGGATTATGGCAGGATTACGCTAGATATAGCGCGCCAGTACATCCCGAGCCTGGTTGGTAACATAGTTATAATAACAGGATAAACCAAAGGATAATGGTAAATGAGGAATAGGAAACCAAATGAGATGAGATCAAGACCAAATAATATTGGATAAAAAGATGAATCAAATCAAAAGAAGATATGGAAAAGGGAAAATGGTGGATCGGGGTCGTACTCTCACACTTCCTTCCCTCAAAGATGGGTGGTAGAAGCAGCACTCTTCTTGACAAGGTAGTCGCGAAGAGGACAACGGGCGTTACCCATGTCGAATTCAGAGACGCTGCCGTAGAAGGATCATAACCCTTCCAGCACAAAAGAAGCTCAAGAGTGCCATTCTGACAATGACGCGTGTCTGGTCTTAGAGCTGATGGACAACGGTGATGAAATGGAATTGTCGTGTCTGATCTTAGAGCTGATGGACAATGGTGATGAAATGGAATTGTCGATTGTTGTGGTATGAGCGGGCTGCGTGTGTAGCAAAGGTAGAATGGTAATTGTCATGTTGCAATCAAGGTGGCGTTGATGTAGACGCACTCCCATACCAGCAGCGTTGTGCAGAATTTGTTCAACAATCCAATTGAGCCACACTCTATGTCCGTCGGTCTGTAGGTGGTACGTAGATGGTGTTGGATTCGCCATCGCCCTGCACCCACCCGCGCTACACTCCTTTGCACCGTTCCTATCCTGATTCCCTTGTTCTCTTAGCTTCACATGCCCCATGTTGGCATCTTCCTGAGGATTTAACAGAGGGTACGACGGTTGCGCAGAAACGCGGTACGGGCTCCGTCCTGGTGGGCACTCGATACCCGTGATGAGGGGAAACCGCAGGCCAGAGGACAGATTCAGCCTAGCAGCTGAAACCTCCACGCACCCACAGGACTCGTGCCTGCGAGGTGGGAACCCCCCCGGCTGCTAGCAAACACCTCCATTCCCCTTACCCACAAATCCAGCACTATAACCCATTCTTCATGCAAGGGAAACAGCCCTGGCAGCTACAGCACTCCCTATCCCCCGCTATGCACCCCACTCAAACACTCCCCTCCCTCCCCTTCCCCCTTGTCCCCCCCCCCCCCGCAACGATCTTTGGTGAACCGCTAATCCTCCCAAAGTGTGCATTGCGTACCAGCCCACTGCCACTATACCATGTTACACCCCTATATGATGGCCATTCTTTAGCCTCATGTAGGGTCTCCTGCTCGCCCCTTGTCACCCTCTCCACGCCCTTCTTTTCTATAGCCTCCACAAATGTATCCCCCTTCTTCTCCCCTCCTCCTTGCCCCACCTTTCTTCAACGCATAAATCAGCTAGACGTAAGCCGTCTGCAAGATTACACTCCCTCTCACTGTAGAACTCCGCCCTTTGCACTCCCTCGTCTTCCTCCCCCCCCCCCCCAAACCTTGACTCCTCACCCGCAGACCCCATCAGCTGACTGCCACCTACTATCCCCCCTTGCGACGTCTCTGGATCCGCCGTCATCAATACCCCGCTTCGTTCCCCCTCCGCCTACCCCCACCCGATTCCCCACCGAATTCCCCACCATGTGCGATACTCCCAGCAGCTCTCCCCGTCTCACTCAGCCCAACGCTTTTCTCTCACATGTCCAAACTATTCCCCTTTATCGCCCCTCTATGCCCCTCCCCCCCTGCTCCTAATGTATACTTCCCCTCCCCCTACCCTCCCTTTATGGAAAACTCAACATCGATCACTGTAGCGCACTATGGAATCGCCTAACTCATGTTATTGTTTCATGTTCGGGCAGGCAACTACAGTAATACATTTCCCCTCTACCATATGTCTACCCATCCCGAAGGCCTCAGACACAGGCCAACCCGTGCACCCCTCCAGCCCCTGGAGAGCAACCTGCTGTTCAATCCCTCAAGGATGTCAAGAAAGGATCCGTAAATATCTCGGTGAACATGCAGCGACTACTATGTGCTTTGCGCGTCGGTGTCTCTTTTGCTGTCGAGCACAAAGATGTTGGCGACCCCAGACAATGTCCTCTACTTTCTTGAGGAAGCCGCTCCAAATGCCACTAAATGACTAATCGAAGCGGCCATGAGTGCGGGTGAGTCACGGCAGGGTCCGCTATACTCGTATGATAGGCAAACGTGCAGAAAGGTGCCTGAGGGGGTCCTCATGGCAAGATCAAGCGGCTGAGGTGGGCGATATGCACCGCAAGGCGTACGGCCGCACCTTCAAGAAGCGTGTGGCGGGAGGTTATGAGAGAGTCGCTGACCTACTACAGCGAGAGGATCGGGCGCTGGTGGGTTTGCAGTACAACTTCCCAATCTGTGAATTGGATGCTCACGGACTACCGAGGCCAAAGGTTGGACCAGCATGGGGAGGAGTGAGGTGTGGCCTTGCGTTCGAGCAGATGCAACAGCAAGGTTAGAGGCTTGGCCAATCGAAGTCCAAAACGGTGTGGGTCTGAGGTATTGCACATCACACTCCCCACTCCCTCCATACAGTCCCACCCTTCGGCCGCTGTAGGATCAATGGCAACGTGAACGGGACGAACAACACAGCCCTCAACCCCATAGAGCAGTTGTGGGCACACCTCAAAAGAGAGCTTGCCAAGTATCAGCACACCCCCACAGGGATGCTCCAGACTTGGGAGCGGGTGCAAGAGACATGGGACAGGATTGGGGCAGATGTGTGTAGGGGGGATTATTGACAGTATGCCGAGGAGGGTGAAGGCAGTGGTTAGGGCTAAAGGGAGATGGACCCTGTACTGATTTGGGATTGTAAATTGCTTACTTTAAATATGGCCAAAACTGTTCGAATACTTCTTGGTGAATATTATTCTTGGTGTTGAATCATAAGCATGCCCTTTTAGGCTGGTTGACATGTGATCTTCTTGCTTAGGTGGCAGTCTACTAGTCAATTAAAGCCAGTTGTTCAAAAGAG